ACAAAGCACCTAGTGGACACGGGCCATACGGTTGACCCAGTGGTTGCATTCAAGGTCCTGTTTCGGGCGACGACCGGGCGTCTCTTGCACTTTGCAGAGGCCGCTGCAATACGGAGGAGGAAACCAGAACTCTGTAAGCAGTTGGACCACGTGATAAAACTGGCACTACCATGATAAGGATAGACTATTGACGAAACCCTGTTCCCATGTGCGCCCTCTAAATTAGACGCTCTAGAATCCCGCGAAAGTACTGCCAGAATTCATCTGCATCTTTCTTGTTGACTAACCAGGTTTCCTTCAAAAGAGTACGTCTCAGTGCGCTAAAGTCACCCTTCCAAATATTTCTGCGCCTCTTGATTTTTGGTTGTTGGTTCGATAGGAGAGAGCACACGCAGGTAAAAGCAATATGATCGCTCAAACTGGGTGGAGGTTGTGGATTCACTTCCCTTATGACTCCTTCTTATTTACTGAAAACGAGATCTAACCAGTTAGATCGTTGTCCTTCTCTCATTCCTGTTCCGAAGTGTATGTTTTGAGCGAGGTATTTATTCAGGGGGAGTTGTAGTAGCTTGTGGTCAAATGACGTGGACGGGACGTTTGTTAGGGAAATGTTTCAGTCTATTCCTGGAGCGTCAAAGTCACCCAGAAGCAGTAAGTTCCCCTGCTTACATAACAAATCCAGTGCACTAAGTAATTCCATATCAGCGATTTCATTCGAGCTGGAAGGCCGGTAGACAACACACAGGTTCAGTGTCGGTAATTGTTTGATATATATCTTGCATGAAATTATTTCAAAATTTTGCGGCGCCCCATCGGATATTTCTCGCTGACAGCACGGAATTTCATTTGACACATAAATCGCTGTGCCTCCTCCTCTACGTTGAAATCTGTCACGAAGGAACAGTTGGTAGCCTTCAATACTGACTTCGCTACTACTTATTTCCTCAGTTAACCATGTCTCTGTTGAGACAATTATGTGAGACTTCTGTTCAGAGATTAGTAATCTGAGTTCATCTAGCTTGTTGAGGAGACTCTGATAGTTATTGTAATAGATTTCTAGGCAATGACCACTGGTGCTCACAGCCTCTAAAATTGACACCTTTGCATTGCTCAGGCTGCCAGAATGACGGCCTTCGCCCAGAGAAATGTCCCTTTGACGTGAGTTATTCGTCCGTTCTTGACTTGTAGGTGTGTTTCGCCGCTGCTTCTCCGCTTTTCTAGCTCCGTCATCAGCTCTCTCAGTTTCATTCGCTCTTTTGGCTCGTAATCCGGATGAAAAAAAACTTCAGGATGCTGACCCCGCAGAGATGATTCTCTCTGTAACAGGAGCTGGGCCTGTGCTTCAGTCTCCAAAATGACTTTTGGGGGTCGAGGCCGGGAACTGGAACCGGATGCTGACTGAGTCTTCCCTATTCGGAATGCTTTGAGAAGATTAAGTGATTCACCGTCTCTTAACAAAGCTTTCGCATACACTTGAAGAAGGTCTAAGTCATGCTTGACTCTCTCCTTTGGAATTGTTGCTGTTGACTCGGGTACTCCTTTTATATCTACATTTTGCTTGCGACTGAATCTAGCGCTCGTTGTTGTCGCACATATTTTGAGTGACTGAGCGTTGTTCTCCAGTTTACCTGTTTCGCTGGCTCCGGATAAAGTAGCTATTGAACTAGCGAGACTGAGATCCGTGTACGATTAATTTATCTTCTTTTTGATAACCCTTTCTTCTGTGTTCCCGAGTTGCTCGTCGAAAAAGCTTACCTCAGTTTCTTTCGAAGCCTCCTCTTGAATTTTCGGTCCAAAAGGTGTTCCGATATCTTTATTGTTCAACATAATTGGGGGCCTCCGGCGGTCTTTCGAAGGCCTCCTGGCCGTCCTCCTCAGCTGATCTGTGTGTACATAAGCAGCCTTCGTTTTTTGGACCCTACAGAGGCGCGCGTTGTTTTTCTGGGATGTTACTTCGTTATCTGTGTTCGCTTTGGCTGGTCTTTTTCTCTCCTAAGAGATTGGAATTTAACTGTGTCTGGTTCCCTGGACGAACCGTCGTCAGTTTCAGCGTTTGATATGGCTAAAGAAGCCGTGGTTGCATATGTTTTTTTCGGATTCTGGATTGCCGAATTCGTCGGCTTCTTCTCTTCACGTAAGTGGTGAGCAAGCTTCATTAGCTTTTCTACCTCCACTTTTAAACCTTTTAACTCCCCCTTCATTTTCGAAAATTAATAGATGAGTCCGAAACATGTGGTACAGATTTCATCGTTGTATTTGACATCCCCCAACGCCACTAGCCTTTTTGCTCCTTTTTCCGGGCATTGGTCTGGCAGCAGAACGTCCAACACTGCAGTTATTAATATCATGTATAATACATAATTTATCATTTGTTTTGGCGACATTGGTGCGAATCAGTGGCTTAGTGGTAAAAACGGTTTTCTGACCGAGCGACTGCTCGGGTTTGACTCCCGCCTGGGGCAAACATTTTACATCGTGTTTTGAGGGCATTCCTCTGAATAACATTGCTGGTTTTACAAGTTTCGAACAGTTTTCAGAAAGGTATGAGACGAATTTTCAACCAGATCAAATATATGAGGTAAACGACTCAGCCTTTCGAAGGTTTTGGGGATTTCTCAGTGCTGTTGCAGAGAGGCGACTGAACGAAGGTAGGTTATCCCGCACAAGTCCTGGTGTAGATTTCCAAGATTGGATCGGTCGCAAAGACGAATCGGATTCTTAATACCCACGAGCCTTGAAAACGTCCATTAGATATAAATCCCGATAAAGGTGAATTCCCCCGGGGTCGAAAAGTTCAGACAAAATTCGAAGCGCGATAGTATCCGTGGAGCGTTGGGCGAAATCAATCGACATGGGTTTATCAGTCGACGCCGTGTACACTGACTTCAGAAAGGCTTTTCGCAGTGTTCCACACAGACGACTTATATTTAAACAACGTTAAGTGGGTGTTAATGGAAATCTGTTGAAATTGTTAGCCGATTTTCTTACGGGCAGATCTCAGCGTGTGCGTATTGAAAACGCCAAATCGGAATGGGCATCCGTCCACACAGGCATTCCGCAGGGGAGCGTTTTGGGTCCATTTCTGTTCTTAATATATGTGAACGACCGCCTGATCTGTCTGAACTGCGAGCGCTTAATGCTTGCTGATGATCTCAACTTGTGGAAATCAATAGAGAAGCCGGAATACTCTCTACAGTTACAAGACAATCTGAATCGCTTGCAGCAATGGTTTGATGAATGGTGTCTTAACCTCAAGCTTAACAAATGCCAACTTATCGGATTACGATCGAGCAACAGGGGTGGCCGTTGAGATTCGAATCTCACTACTTTATGGAAGGTCACAAACTCGAGTCGGTCAACGAGGTAAGAGACATCGGTGTGTGGATGCCGTCAACAGTCAAACCATCGTCTCACTGCGCCAAGGTGTCAAAGTTTAATAGACCTCTTGTTCCAATGGTAACAATGCGTCCCCCACCCCCTAACCTGTTTCCTCCACGGCCGTTTTACCAATTTATTCCTCATGATAATGTCCATACTGAATCAGTTAATTCATCCGATCCTCAGTTTCGTTCCGGCGGGAATTGTTGCAGTATCTGCCCCGCGGATTTCCAACTGAAAATAAGTTAGCTAACAATAGTTACCAGTTTACCTGCCCGTCATTCCCTCCCCCAAGTCCTACCCCGTTTTATCCACGTCAGAATTTTTTGATGCCACAAATTTTTTTGCAGAACCGGATGGTTGCATCCGGAGCGTTTGCTCCGTGGGCAACCCAGAACTGGACGATGTAGCCCACCTCCCTCAAAAACTAACAGCCTTTCCCTTCAAACTTTTTGTTTTAAATGCCAGATCCTTGCTTAATAAGATGCCTTTGCTTCAGGCTCAGGTGTTCGTCCATTGTCCTGATATTGTTTTAGTAACTGAGGCGTGGGCATCAGCCTCAGTAGCTGACTCCGAACTCTCTCTTCTAGGCTACAATTGCATTCGAAATGATCGCCAAGATAGCCGTGGTGGGGGCAGCTGCGTCTACGTTAAGCAAACACTTACATTTTTGCCGTTGGACCTCCCGCACTTTTCAGCAGTAGAAGGCAGCTGCTGGCTCCAGGTTTCACTAAAAAATAAGTTCTCCTTACTCGTTGGCTGCGTCTATCGCCCTCCCAACGCCAATGACAATTTTGATCGTTTACTCTCACAGGCATTTCATGCTGCGGCCGACTTAAGCTTTAAGTATCATATCGATAGTCTTAGGGAGCTTCGTAAAAACAAAAACATTGTGCTTACTAGACCGGATAAAGGTTCAGGAGTGGTACTGATGGATAGGACAGATTATGTGGCGAAACTAGAGGAAATACTGTCGGATCGTTCCAAGTTCTCAAAATCTGAGAAAGATAAGGATCGCACGGAGGCTGTCGAGGGTCAGCTGACGACTATTCTCAAAGATCTCTGCAAAGAAGGCCATTTGTCTAGCGCTGACGACTATTCTCAAAGATCTCTGCAAAGAAGGCCATTTGTCTAGCAAAGAGTATGAACGACTGAGACCGGTGGGCTCGACAATACCAAGAATGTACGGCCTTCCTAAAATTCACAAACAAGGGCTGCCTCTACGTCCAATCTTGGATATGAGGAATTCGCCCTATCATACCGTTGCAAAATGGCTAGTGGAAAAACTAAAGCCATTGCAAAGTTACCTATACCCTCGAAGTTTAAAAGACTCCTTTGAGTTCGTCGAGGCTATCAAAAATATGAACGTTGGCGGACGGAGGATGTTATCGCTGGATGTATCATCGCTGTTCACCAACGTACCCGTGGCAGAAACAATAAACTATCTTTGTGATGTTATTCGTGATACGAACTACGCCATAGACATGCCTGTGAAAACGCTAAAAGAACTACTGACGCTTTGCACACAAAATGTCCAATTTCTGTGCAATGGTCAATTATACAGGCAGGTAGATGGTGTGGCAATGGGATCACCACTTGGACCGTTCCTTGCAAATGTTTTTATGGGCAAAGTCGAGAAAACAAGCTCGCAAGAGACCATTAATGGCCTCGTCTTCTACCGTCGGTACGTGGACGATATCTTCTGCCTGACGGATGGTACCACCGATACCGAGGAGCTTGTCCAAAAGTTCAACAGTGCGCACCCCTCGCTAAAGTTCACTGCAGAGACCGAGGCAGATAACGAACTTGCCTTTCTCGATGTCCTTCTGCACAGGCAAGAGGATGGGTCTATCCAGCGCAGGGTGTTCCGAAAGAAAACCTGGACGGGACAATATGTTAATTTCCACAGTTTTGTCCCCCTTCACATCAAACGGAATTTAGTCCAGGGATTGGCGACTAGAGTGAGACGCATCTGCTCACCTGAAGCTATTGAAGAAGAACTTCAACAGCTGCGGAACACACTTCGGGAGAACGGATACCCAGATAGATTCATCCTCCGAAATATTGGTGAACGCGTTGAAAAGCCCACTGTTGAGACTGCGGGAAAGAAAGATGTATTCATAAGATTGCCTTTTAGAGGAGACGCAGAGAGCGAACTAGTCCGACGGCGCTTAACTACAGCTATCACGAGGGCATTCCCTGCGGCGATTTACGCGTATGCTTCACAAACTCTCCCCTCCTACGTTTGGGAGGTAAAGACAGACTACCGTTGGAGGCCACATCAATGTGCATTTATTCATTCACTTGCTCCTGTGGAGCAGGATACATCGGCCGCACAACGAGACGCCTGGTAAAGAGAGTACGTGAACATATGCCCGCCTGGCTAGACAGAGGTGAGACCCGGTCGATTTCGAGTTCTATTCTCGCGCATTTAATCGATACGAACCACCGAGTCGATGCCAAGAAAGCATTTCAGGTTGTCTACCGGACACCAACATGCTTCTCTAAAGGCCTACGCCAACGGATACTAGCAACGGCAGAGGCAGTAGCTATACGGTTAGTGAATCCGGTGTTATGCTGTCAGAAAACTCTGACACAAGCGCTTTCGCTGCCGTGGCCAACGCCAACGCCAACGCCAACCCCAAATGATGAAGACATGCCGCCTCAAATCCCTAATCACGATGATGGGTACTCCGTGTACTCAACCCAAGATCATTACTCAAAGACTCTCTTACCCCCCTCCCCTAGCCCTGACGACTAACACCCGCCGACCTTCTCATGCGGGCGGCGTTGGGATGATGAGTGTTAGTGACTTAATAGCCCTTGAGGCATCTATAAACACTGTTGCTTTTGTACATTTTCATTCGTTTCATGTAATTGTATTGGCCTGAGGAAGAATTACCGAAAACGTGCGTTCGCCAACTTGACTTTTCAATTTTAACATGGGAATATTTGCGGAACTTTAAGTATCAATTGGTGGCGGGTGACTTTAATCTCCCTGAAGTCCGCTGATCTCCGCCTTCAGGCCCCAGAAGGTTCGATGACTTTCTTGAGGCTGTGGATGTTGGGATGTGGAATCAGGTTGTCGATTTTCCCACACGAGGCTCAAGTATACTTGACCTAATTTTCAGTAGAGGCTGCTTGCCATCGTCAGTGTCATCCCTAGGCCCACTCGGGGTCTCAGACCATGACATAGTTGTTTCAACGTTGGAATTCGAGGCTGACGAAATGTCGTCCCAAAAGTATAAATTTTTCCGCGATTTCCGATCAACTCGCTCAACCGAATTATTAACACACCCTAATTCCTACGACTGGACTGAGTTCTTCCTTAGTTCGGATGTAAATGTTTGCACTGCAAAACTGTACGAAATTTTGGATCCGCTTATTTCTCGTTTTGTCCCCCGTAAGAAAATTATTAATGTAGGAGATGAGGGTTTCCTACCCTTACCCTTTCGTCGCAGATTGCGCAGACTTTATCGTCGTTTCCATCTTCAGAACGATGTTTCTGTTCTGCCCTAGATTTGTGATATTTTTGATCGAGCTAAGAGATTGTCTGAAGAAAAACAGCTAGCCGAAGAGGTCCAGTTTACCGAAAACCATTCGTTAAATGTCTCGAAACTTTTCTCTAGAAAAATACGAACTCACCGAAAGACGCAGTATCCCGCCCTCCAAGACGCCCTCGGAAAGCCCATAGTTGATGCCCAGTTAATCGTTGATAGCTTCAATGATTCCCTATCCAAAACGTTCATGGAATACTCGACTACTCCGCTTCCGACCATCCAGCCATTGACCGGGGCAGTTCTAGAAACTATAACTTTCACGCTGTGGGATGTGACTGTTGCGATTCGGCGTTTTCGTCAATCTTATAGTCCAGGCCCTGATGGTGTCCCTGTAAGTATTTTAAAAGCCGATGCAAACACGATTTTCCCATCCCTCTTATGCAAGATATTTAATCTCGCTCTTGAAAGTGAAATTTATCCTACCTTGTGGAAGGAATCACACATTTTGCCCATTCCTAAGCACGGTAAATCTACATCATTTGATGACTTTCGGCCAATAAACACCCTCCCCGCAGTTTCGAAGATCTTAGAGACATTGATCAAGGATAAGATGATGTGTCACTTAACAGCGAATAACTTACTGAGTGCTGCTCAGCATGGATTCCTCAAAACTCGATCTTGTGACACCTGTCAACTCTCTTTCTTTGACTATGTTCTCCAATCTAGGGACCATGGTTTTGCTCTTTGCACAGTATATTTCGATTTCACTAAGGCTTTTGACCGTGTTGACCTTGCTCTTCTCCTCTTGAAATTGTCCTCTTTCGGAATAGGTGGCAAATTTTTGAATTTTATATCCTATTATTTGGGCACTCGCACACAACGAGTTAAGATTTCCAATACCATCTCCAACCCCACACGTGTGAGGAGTGGAGTCATTCAGGGTAGTGTACTCGGCCCGCTTTTGTTTTGCCTTTTCGTTAATGATGTACCCGATTTATTTCAGAATGGTAGGCCTTTCATGTATGCCGATGATCTTAAAGTTGCATATCGATATAAGCCGGCAGATCATGACATCGTGCTTGAGCTCCTAAAGAGCGATCTACAGGCTTTCGCCCAGTGGTGCCGCACATGGCGCCTTTCTCTTTCTTGGCATAAGTGCTCAGTCATGGTGGTTGGCGACGACCGCCAACCTCAACTAAGTATTGAAGGTCACTCCATAAATGTGCCCAGGGTTATAAAGGATTTGGGCGTATCATACTCCAAGAGTCTCAATCTCTCGGAGCACTGTGCCTTGATAGTCTCCAAAGCACGTAGAATGACCGGGTTTATCCTCCGAAATTTTAAAACTAGGGACATTAGAATGCGCCTTTTCAACATGTACGTTAGACCTGGTCTGGAATACTGTTCGTTTTCATTTAGCCTCATGCGTGCTACTGAGCGGAAGAAAATAGAATCCGTTCAACACTTTTTTACTAAGAGAATTTTAACCCCGGAACACCGACATTTGTCTTACCAAGAACGTTGCCGGCTTACAGGCCTCGATCCTTTATGGTTCCGTAGATTACAAAAGGGACTATTTTTGCTATTTAAACTCTTATATAATCACACATTTAACCCGCTCACCTCTTTAAGACATCATATCCACCCACGACGTAACAGTCACCGTGAGGTCTTCTTATTTCTGCCTCTGGCACGTACTGTTAAATATCGTCGGTTCTTTTCTGTAAATGCAATTGCTATTTGGAATAAACTACCCATGGGTGTGAAAACTCTGCAAAATTATCCTTTATTTAAGAGAACTATTACTCGATTTTTGCATTCAGAAAAGCTCACACAAATTTTGGGTGCTGAATCTACTGATCGACTGTACCGTAGCGATGGCGTTTGTGGTCTCTGAACACTATGGCCGGTCTCACCAGCTGTTCCTCAACGCCTCTACTTTGGCTATCCCCAGCTTCATGAAAGGAATTTGACGTCCGATAATCTCCGATACCATGCAACCTCCCCCCTTCTTGACGGTCGATATTCTACCACCGCCGGCAGTTTTTTCTCCTGAGCCCTCCAAACCATAAATCAACTATATTTTTATCCCTTTAGCTCAGGAGTTTTTTTCACTGCTGGTCGGATTTATGTTTAATCGCTTCCCTTGACAATGCCTGTAAACTGGCATTAAATAAAATTTATTTATTTATTTATAAAGCTACGAGAATCCAAGGTGCGATTAGAAGTTCCTTCCTCAATCTTGACGAAGAACATTTCGGCTGAGTATTTGGAACATTTGTTCGGCCAATGTTGGAATATTGCGTCCAGGCATGGTGTCTCTGGTAGAAACAAGATTACACCCTACTGGAAAACGTACAACGAAGAGCGACCAAGCTAGTCGGCGAATTAAGTGGCTTACCTCGTGTGAGACGCCTGAAAACGCTAAAAATATTTTATCTCTCTTATAGACAATACAGAGGGGATATGAGCATGACCTTTAGGATCGTCAGAGGGCTAGACTGCGCTATCCAATTTGACGATTTCTTTGAAAAGACGCGAACGGCCGATCTTCGAGGCCACAAATACAAATTGAAGATAAAATATGCCAATGTTGAATTGCGGGCCCAATTCTTCTCCCACCGACTGATTGAAGGATGGAACAAATTGCCGAACTCCGTTGTCTTAGCGGAAGACGTTAAGACCTCCAAAAGAAGACTAGATAAGTATATGCTTGATGGTCAAACATTTACACGATATCAATGACTGGCGTAACTGCTATGTAAATATCTGCTTGTTTTTTTCATACGCCTTTCTGTAAATAGGGTTTTCCAAGCCTCTGCCTATATCCATAATATAAACTGAATTATACTGAACTAATAAACTCAACGAAGTTTTGGATCCACCTATTTCTTGTTTTTGTTCGACGTAAGAAATTAATTAATGTCGAGGATTAAGTTTGTCTCCATTTATCCTTTCGCCATAGGTTGCGTAGACTCTGTCGTCGATTGCATCTGTGAAACGACGTTTCCGCGCTACCCTGGATTTGTCATATTTTGAGCGGGTTGTGAGAACAATCGAAGAAAATTGTCAGCCGGATTGGTCAACTTTGCTGGAAATAGCTAGTTAAATGTCGTGAAAGTTTACTCTCGAACAGTAGGGGCTCAAAGGAGAACGCAGCATCCGTCCTTCGGGACGCTCTCGGAAATCGCGTAGCAGACGCCAAGTTAACCACTGATATCTTCACTGCTTTTTTGTCCAAAACACTTCGTAAATATTTAAGGGCTTCGCTTCCGAACATCCGGGTTAGGGTCGGCACTGTTCTCTGAGCTATAAATTCCGCCCTCTGGGAAATGAATGTAGCGGTTCAGCGTATCCGTCAATTTCATAATCTAACAGGTGATGGTGACGAAATGTGCATGTAAGCGACGAGCACGGCGCAAGTACTGAATTTCAACGGTAACCACCCGATCGCTCACAAACGCAGTTGTGCAAGAACGATATGCCGGGGTACTGAGACGCACTGCAGTGAAACGGAAGACAAGATCGCCGAATTGCAATATCTGAGAGCTAATGGCTACCCGCGCATCGTTGTCAACCAGTGCGTACGCAGACGAAACAAGAAACCATATCTAATCAGCCCAAAATTTTGGCAAGCGCTTCCGTACGTGAGGAACGTCTCGGAAACCGTCAGCTGCCTCCTCACCCCACTTGGATTTGGGGTTGCACACCGGCCGGAAGCAACCATCAGACACCAAGTCATAGGGCCTACAAATCCGCTGTCATGGCAAGAAACGTCTGGAGTCGTTTACCGAATCTGGTGCGGTTGCGGACAGAGCAACTGCGTCCGAGAAACTGGGAGACTACTCCGGACG